AACCATCGGGTCATCGTTGGAGCGGTGGAGAAAACAGACGCGGAGACAGCAGAGTTTTAGTTGAACATTTTTATCTCCTTTTATCATGTCACATAAATAACTCTGATTAGTCTCTGACATGTCAACACGGTCGCTGTCCAGGCAGCTGCAGACGGCGCTCGCCAACAGAGCTGGCGTTTACCGCCGCTCTGACGCTCAGGTTTTTTCAGCTGCGTCTCCGATGGTCGACCACGCCTACAGACGTTTATTCAAGATTTATTTTGGTCTCCTGAAAAGGTTCAGAGAATAAAACTTTGTCCTGAACCCCCTCAGGGATGAAGACCTGGACCTGGACCTGGACCTGCTCTGACCCTCTCAGGTTTTTACCTTCTGCTCCCGCTTCTCTTCTGCTTTTTCCCATGATGCTCCAGGCTTTTGGTAGCAGTGCTCGCTGGTGACGTAACAGAGGGGAGTGTCTCCTCGCGGGCTGGATGCCAGTCTGGGCCCCTCCTCCCGTTTCCATGGTAACCTCCACAGCTGCAGGTCAGGATGCGCTGAGGAGCTATAAAGAGATGAAACACTCTGAGCGTCTCTGTGGGACTCGGACACGCCCACCAGAACTCGCCATTACTCTAACTCACTGTAACAGGCTGATCTTCAGCTGCAGCCCGCTGAGGACCTGATTGAGGCCATGTGTCAGCGCCAGCAGGCGTCTGGTGTGCGAGATTTTTGAGGCGTTGATCTCAGAGTAGTTTTCCTTCACGCAGGACAGGCCGAACATGTGACCAGATATCAGCAAATCAGGCTCGGACAGGAAGCACTGAGCCCGCCTCCAACCTGAGCAGGAGAGGCGGAGAAAAAGGTCTGAGTGACATCATCTGAGGACGGTGGGCGGAGTTTAATCCTGAGATCAGAGCGTACCTGCGCTGTGTCTGCAGTAATAACAGATGTAGTTGTGAGGGACGTTGTCTTCATACAAACCCATACAGGTGCCGTGCTGCCAGCAGAGACACGACTCACACTGAGGGGGGAGAGAGAGGGGGGAGAGAGGGAGAGGGGGGGGGGGGAGGGGGGGGGGGGGGGGGGGGGGGGGGGAGAGGGAGGGAGAGGGAGAGAGAGGGAGAGAGAGAGAGAGAGGGAGAGAGGGGGGGGAGAGGGAGAGAGGGAGAGAGAGAGGGAGAGAGAGGGAGGGAGAGAGGGAGAGGGGGGAGAGAGAGAGAGAGACAGAGAGACACACACACATCAACTTTATGGTCAGATTCAAAATAAAAGCAGATGTTACAGGCAGGAGTCTGTGTGTGAGTCTGTGTGAGTCTGTGTGAGTCTGTGTGTGTCTGTGTGAGTCTGTGTGTGTCTGTGTGAGTCTGTGTGTGAGTCTGTGTGAGTCTGTGTGTGAGTCTGTGAGTCTGTGTGTGTCTATGTGTGTGAGTCTGTGTGTGAGTCTGTGTGTGAGTCTGTGTGAGTCTGTGTGTGAGTCTGTGAGTCTGTGTGTGTCTATGTGTGTGAGTCTGTGTGTGAGTCTGTGTGTGTCTGTGTGTGTCTGTGTGTGAGTCTGTGTGTGAGTCTGTGAGTCTGTGTGTGTCTATGTGTGTGAGTCTGTGTGTGAGTCTGTGTGTGTCTGTGTGAGTCTGTGTGTGTCTGTGTGTGTCTGTGTGAGTCTGTGTGTGTCTGTGTGTGTCTGTGTGTTTGAGTCTCACCTGGATCATGAAGTCGTTCTCCTCGTCCACCTCACACACACACCTCACCACCTCACACTCCTCTGTATCCATAGAAACAGGCCAAGAGGGCGTGTCCTCTCCACTCTCAGCTGTCAGAGTCGACCAATCGCTGCCGTCGTCGACTGAAAAAGAGGGTCAACGTGAGTGAGAGGGTCGTCTACCCCTGCTGTACTGTGTGATTTTGAGCGTGTGCAGGTGTGCAGGTGTTCAGGTGTACAGGTGTACAGGTGTACAGGTGTGCAGGTGTGCAGGTGTACAGGTGTTCAGGTGTTCAGGTGTGCAGGTGTGTAGGTGTGCAGGTGTTCAGGTGTTCAGGTGTGCAGGTGTTCAGGTGTGCAGGTGTACAGGTGTACAGGTGTACAGGTGTGCAGGTGTGCAGGTCTACAGGTGTGCAGGTGTGCAGGTGTTCAGGTCTGCAGGTGTGCAGGTGTGCAGGTGTGCAGGTGTACAGGTGTACAGCTGTACAGGTGTGCAGGTGTTCAGGTGTGCAGGTGTTCAGGTGTGCAGGTGTTCAGGTGTTCAGGTGTGCAGGTGTACAGGTGTGCAGGTGTTCAGGTGTGCAGGTGTACAGGTGTTCAGGTGTACAGGTGTGCAGGTGTGCAGGTGTACAGGTGTACAGCTGTACAGGTGTGCAGGTGTTCAGGTGTGCAGGTGTTCAGGTGTGCAGGTGTTCAGGTGTGCAGGTGTACAGGTGTGCGCTCCCACCATGAGAGTGTATGTTGTGAAGCTCAGTGGACAGTTTCAGAGTGAGGGGCGGTCTGTCTGACCCCTCGTCGTCGCTGCTGCCCAGTCCTGAGGAGAAGAGAGACGTGAGATAAACGGCGATGAAATCAGAGCGTTGATATTAAAACAGAGAGAGGAAACCTAAAGGAGCTGCTGAACAAGGATCTGAAGGTGAGCTGAAGGACTCCTGACATAAAGGAGGACCTGTTCAAACAGCAGAGTCTGTCTACGCTCTGTGAGGTTCAGGTTTTTGCTAACGGACAAACGTTTCTGCTGGTTTCAGTGAAATCTAAGAAAGAAGATCTAGTATCTCTGAGATCCTTCCTGTGGTCATCAGACACCATCAGAGGTTTTACTGCAGACAGACTCTCACCTGAGTGAGTCCTCTTTTTCTTCTTCTTCTTTTTCTTCTTCTTCAGTTTGACTCTCAGGAAGTTCTTCCTCTCTTTCCTGTCCAGCTCCCCTGTTTTCTCCCTCCCTCCTTCCCTCTTCACTTCTGCTCACAGAATCAGACCTTTGGCAGGTTAACCTCACACATATTACAAACTAAGTGATTTTAAGAAAACACGCCATCAGCAGGTCTTTCTCTGCTTCCACAGAGCCGTCCTACCTGTTACCAAGGTGTCGTGCTCCCTGTCGCCATGGTGACAGGTGTTATCCTGGTCCTCACTCTTCCTCTCGGACGTAAATTCGCCCCCCTTGGATGATGCCCTCTTCCTCCTGCAGAAACACAGACATCAGTACCTCCTGATCCCCCCTCTCAGAGCTCTCATACTGGGATTCGAACCATCGACCTGACCTCGGCGCCTCTCGCTCGCTGCCCTGCTTGTCCAGCTGCTGGTCAGAGTGGTAGTATTTGATGTGGTAGTGCAGCAGACTGGCCTTCCTGAAGGACTTGGAGCAGCCGGCTGCGGGACACTTGAAGGGGTTGTGGTCGAGCTCGATGGAGAGGATGGGAGGGGGCTGGTTCTTGATGACCCTGTACACTGAGAGGGGACGCCACGACGTAAAGAGAGGGGGACGTCTCTAAAACCGGACAAACTGTGAAAAACTGAGTGTTGGAGCTTCCATTTCTTCTTGGTCCTACTTTTGAGGATTTTAAAGGTGGAAGTTTTCTGTTAAAGAAGTTTTTACACAAACATCTTTAAATATCAGTCAATAGTTATTGCTATAGCTGTGAGGGCAGGAACACGGTCTTAAACCATGACAGTGACTCAAACAGAGAACCCTTCATGGACCAGATCCTCTCACTTCAGGAGCAGACTATGTAAGCCTGGATCCTTCAGAGGCTCCTCCCCCTGCGCTCAGACACTCCTGAGGTTTTCGTCAGTAAATGGAGTTTAATGTTTGAACTTGTACTTACACGGCTCTCTGCTGAACTTGTGTGTGGTGGGCAGGTGGGCCTGACGCTCCAGCAGGAGGTCTGAAACGACAGACGAACAAAACATCCTCAAACATTCAGGAAGTTTCGTGTCGATTCGGCTCAAATATAAAAACATCTAAAACTGAAGCCCCGCCCACGCTCAGACCGCCTCTTCGTTTCCCCTCAGATGTCAGAGTCACGCAGAAACGCCGCCGCTGATTCTGACGTTTACCTTTGTCGATGTAGGCGGGGTTATCGGGAGCCGGCTGGGTGGAGTCAGCTGGGATTGGCTCGTTCTGAGCTGCGCTGCTGTCACCTGAGGGCGGAAAAGAGACACAGCGACAGATCAGCTGGTTGTTTACCCATGATGCATTTCAACAAGTCTACAAGCGGGTTTGCAGTCAGAGATCATGTGACCTACTGTCATCGGTTTTCTTCTTTGTTGGTGGATGTGAGGATGAAGGTTCGGCCTTCCTCTTCCTCTCCTCCTCCTCTTCCTCTGCAGTTCCCGCCCTCTCCTCTGATGTCACTTCCTCCTCCATCTCTTCCTCTTTCGTTTCTTTTTTCCTCTCATCCTCGCCGCTCTCTTTCCCGTCCTCGCCGCTCTCCCCTTCCTCCCATCCCTCGCTCCCGACTGTACACCTCTCTGATCTGGACTTCTTCTCACACACAGAAGAACAAACAAACGATGATTTAGGATGGGGGAGTGGTCACTACTTCAGCCAATCAGACGGCCACAAATAAGAATCCAGTTCTCCTTACTTCCTGGAAAGGCTTGACCTTCGTGGGCTTCACGGTCCGCACCACGCCGTCGTAGAAACGCACCGTGTAGGAGTCTGAGAGACAGGAACAAACAGGTTCAGCAGCTGTTAGGAAAGCCCTCAAACATCACTGACCTTCTCGGCTCACACACGACCTTCAGACGTCTCGCTGTGGCCTGTTCAGTTTTTTACTCTCCGTTTGATTTTTTTACTGTGATTCAGAAACTTTTACTGACTTAACGAATCAGAATCTGTCACTTCAGTGGAAAAGGTTTGATGGAGTCTCACCGTCCCTGTTGACTCGGAGGATTTTGGCCGGGTAGAAACGACAGTCGGTCCAACAGGCCAGAACCTTTGTACCTGAAACGAACCTCTGAGAGGAGGAAGAGGGAGAACGTTTACTCTGATGAAGAAGAAGAAGAGGAGGAACAGACCGACTCTAGGAGAACAAACTTCATCCACAGGGTCGTCTGCACCGCGGGTCAAACATCAGACCTGAAGAGGAAACAGAATCTTCATTACAGTGTCGTCGCTCACCGGCTGTGAGCACGGGGGGTTCAGACCCTGTCTCCTCAGGCTGACCCTCTCCAGCGGCCTCAGGTACGGCGAGGTCCACTGGAACCATTCGTTGTGTCGCCGGCTCCACTGACGGTAGTGGATCAGGACTCGCTCGGTGTCGTAGTCGATCTTCTCGATGGTGGCGGCGTACCTGATGGGATGAGAGGCGATGAGGCGTTTGACAGATTTCCTCAGGTGAGGTGAAGAGAGGCTGATCCAGTGGATTTTTCACTGCGTGTGTTTGTGTGTGTCTTTGTTTGTGTGTCTTTAGGTGTGTGTCTTTGCGGGTGTATGTGTGTCTTTGTGCGTATGTTTTTGAGTGTGTCTTTGCGTGTCTTTGTGTGTGTCTTTGTGTGTGTCTTTAGGTGTGTGTCTTTGCGTGCGTGTCTTTGAGTGTGTCTTTGTGTGTGTGGTGTGTTTACCAGTTCTTGTGGCGGTCTCTGGCTTCGAGCTGAGCCCCGACCTCGAAGGTGATTCCCGATCTGTCTGGGGGGGTCTTCATCTGTTATAACAGAGTAACTGTGAGTGGGATCGTCTTGATTTTCATGTCTGTTTATTTCAGGTAAAGTATTTTCTTTATTTCACACTGATGAGGAACCTTTCTGACAAACAGGCTGTGAGTCGTTTGTTCCTCAGCTGAAAACTTTGACTGAAAAAATTAATAACTGTCCATGACCTCAGAAGAAGAGCGTTAAAATAATAAACGCTTGTTTTAGTGACGCATGAAAATGTGGATGTAAAGACTGGATCAGGTCTAACCTGAGGGCCTTAATCTGGATCAGGTCTAACCTGAGGGCCTTAATCTGGATCAGGTCTAACCTGAGGGCCTTAATCTGGATTCTGAGATAGAAAAAATTTAATTTTTTAGTTGTTTTTTTTATTTTTATTTATTAGTTCAGATCATGATATTAAGTGACAAAAGTCTAAATACTGAGTTATCAGTCTTGACACGCTCCACTTTCATTTGTCAGGTCTGTCTTTTTCTAACGTGGTCTAAACTTATTTATTCTGTTTATTATTTTATTTCTGAGCAGTTTCTGTCTTTGTATCCTGTTTTTATGTTTTTAGCTCTTAACAGGGTCAGACTGGTATTTTAGTGATATCCAACCACTTTTGTTTATTTTAGTCTGTTGACCAGGATCAGTCTGTGTCTTTGTGTGTCTGTGCTGTTTCTAACCCGTCTGCTGCATGTGTCTGTGTTTTTAATGTTGGTGCAGAACGCTCCAAACGCCTCTTTACAGACTGAAAAACAAATCGACCTGCAGGGATCAATAAAGTTACCCTGAACAAAACCAAAGCATGAAATAAAAAATCTAAACATGTCTGTAAACTTCAGATAAAAACACTGAATTATTTTCCCCACATTCTTGACTGTTTATCAAATCTCCCTAACTCTTGAATATCCCAGATTTTCATGGTTTATTAAGAATATTTTAAATAAAAGTTTAAAACATTATTATCCTGATGACACCTGTGATTGACAGCCCGTTACGTAATGCCAACATAGAAAACTGACGTCGCTTACGTCTCGGAGATAACGGTAACCGCAGCTGAACTTCAAACTGTACTTTATTCATGTCTGTTTCAACATTTAAACAACATCAATATAACGCCGAGTGTCCCGGAGATCAAACGGGAGCATTAAAACCTCAAAACTTCACTGACCGTATAAAATTAACATCATTAAAACTGATTCTTTGACATTTCTTCGCTCTGTCTGTTCGGCTTTCCCCGTCAAAGAAGCTGATTGGCTGTTAAGCAGCCGAGAGCTTCCATTCGGGGTTTTTATTGGACGGCGCTGCAGTCGGTCGAAAGAGTCCCGCCCCCGTGAGCCATTTGACAGTGGCTAAACTTGCTAACGCTAACTGTATTCCTGTTAGCTTCATTCATTGAGATGAGGAGGGGGAAGAAGCTCCAAAAGTACCCGACCGTTTCCTACATCTGCACTCCTCCACAGACGACACGTTATCAAGAGTTTATTCATTGAGCTTGCCTTGTTAAACAGAGTTGTTCTTCTCCCCATTGACTTTCAATAGATAAGCTAACCGAGCTAACTGCTAGCCTGTACTGAGGAGTCCCTGTGACAGCAGCGGGAAAAGAGCGGATTTATGTCACTAATTAAACTGTCATGGATGTCAAAGCCGTTATTAAACCGTCTGAGATGTTAAAGTTTAACTCTGACCGTTAATTTAAGAAGAAAGAGCAGAAAATCTTCGTTACCTCTGACGGTACTTCAGCACTCTTAGTTCTCTGGGATGGTCTCAGAGCGCATGCGCGCGGGGGGGGGCGTTCAGCTGTGTTTATCTGTGTGTGTGTTGTAGGATTGTGTTTGCGTGTGTCTGTTGTAGGACTGTGTGTGTCTGTTGATGTGTGTGTCTGTTGATGTGTGTGTGTGTGTGTGTGTGTGTGTGTGTTGTAGGACTGTGTGTGTCTGTTGATGTGTGTGTGTGTTGTAGGACTGTGTGTGTCTGTTTATGTGTGTGTGTGTGTGTGTGTGTGTGTGTGTGTGTGTGTGTGTGTGTTGTAGGACTGTGTGTGTCTGTAGATGTGTGTGTGTGTGTGTGTGTGTGTGTGTGTCTGTTGATGTGTGTGTGTGTGTGTGTGTGTGTGTGTGTGTGTGTGTGTGTGTGTTGTAGGACTGTGTGTGTCTGTAGATGTGTGTGTGTCTGGTGTGTGTGTGTGTGTGTGTGTGTGTGTGTGTGTGTTGTAGGACTGTGTGTGTCTGTTGTAGGACTGTGTGTGTCTGTTGATGTGTGTGTGTTGTAGGACTGTGTGTGTCTGTAGATGTGTGTGTCTGTTGATGTGTGTGTGTGTGTGTGTGTGTGTGTGTGTTGTAGGATTGTGTGTTTCATGTCTGCTCCTTTAACCCTCTCTCTTTAGTCAATAAACAATCACGTTGATGAATTTACATCCTACAGTTTTTAACCCTTTCGTATCTTTTTTAATCTTTTACGTCTTTTATCGTATTTCGTCTTTCTGTCTTTTTAGTTTTTGTTTTACTGATAATCTTTTCCTATTTAACCTTTTAATGATTTTATTGTTTTTCCTGCTCATTTTTGTTATTCCATTTTATCATTACCATCATTATTATTTTGTTATTTTATTATCATTATTGTCCATTTATATTTAATATCCCGTTTCCTGCTTTCTGCCCCTCTTTTTATTATATTTCTTTTTTTAAACTATTTTATCTTTTTTATTTAATCCTCATGGTCTCATATTGCAGGTTCTTGTTTTGTCTGGGTTTATTATGAAAAGTTAAATTCTCCTTCAGTTCAGAGGTTTTATTTTTTACTGAGCTTTATGAATGTTTGTCAAACCACTGTAAACTTCTGTTTTTAAAAGTGCTGTAAAAATAAAGTTATTATTATTGTTATTATTATTATTATTGTCTCTCATAAAACATTTGGTTGTAACTGTAAAAAAACAGGAGGGCTCTGCTTTCTAATGAAAGGTTGAGATCTGTCATAAAGAGGAAATACATTCATATTTAGTTTTAATATAAGAAGAAGAACTTTATTGATCCCTGAAGGGAAATTCAATCGTCTGTCGTCTCCATAAAACGTCTCTAAAGTTTTCTGTTATTTACAGCAGAGTTATAAAGTCTGTTGGTCCAAAGATCTTCTGAATCTTTTTGTCCTGCAGTGAAGAGAGAGGAGCCGTCCACCACCATCGGTCCTTTGGTCCATCAGGGTGTTGTGAAGTGGGTGATCCATGTTCTTTAGAATAGACTCCACCTTCCTCAGTGTAGATCTCTCCACCACATCCTCCACAGAGCCAGCCTTTTTCACCAGTTTGTTCAGACTTCTTCATCTTTCCTCCCCAGCAGACTGCAGCGTAGAACAGAACACTGTAGATCTACACCACAGACTGATCAAACATCTGCAGCATCTAACTACAGATGTCTATGATCGGAGTCTCCTCAGGCTAAAGAGGCGGCTCTGCCCCTCTCTGTAGATGTAGTCTAGATTCTTAGACCAGTCCAACTTATTATCCAGATTAAGTCGATGTTCCTTATTTTCCCGTCATAAATAACTAATAAACATTTGTTTTTTTTAAGGTGCAACATGACTAAAACTTGCTGCACATAGAAATCATCTTTATTTACCTCTTTAGTTTGTAGGGATCTCTGTTTCATGTCACACTGCAGCAGCTGTCCTCTTGAGGGTCCAGCTTCACTTTTGTGATTCAGTAATTAAATAAAAGTCCTAATTTACCCAGAGAAACCCGACAGAGAGAGTGTCAGACTAAATCCTCAATAATGTACCTGCACCACAAACACAAACTCTCTACCTTCCAGTTACGCAGAAACAAAAGGACAAATCAAGAGTAAAAACTTTAATGTTGAGGTGATAATACGGGAGATTAATCAAACACAGTGGATGTTTCCTAACATCGAAGCCAAGTCTGTCCTACAGAGGACCAGTGTCCAGGTGAGACTTGGTGGAACTTGTCTGTGCTTGTCCAACAACATCTCAGACATTTTTTTACCAGATGAACCTCCTCAAAACGGTTTTAAACTCGGTCAGGAAACACAGAGTGAAAGAGAGTCTGAAGTTTTGGTGATATATAGAAAGCTCATTTTTGACCTTGTGCTCTAAGAATAAACTCGTCTCTCACTCGCTCTGGTCGCTGACTGGGCTGTAAACAGTGGAACCTTCTTTGTTGAGAACTAAAAGTGGAAATATAAAGATCTTCATCAGAAAACAGCTGCTGGGCTCAGAGGTCGCTGCACAGTTGGAAATGTTGTTCTCAAAATGCCGAAGTGTCCCTTAATGATGGTGTGAGGGTGAAGTCGTTGGACGTTTCTCTTTGTGTCTGTGATTGAAATTCATGTTCGTCTCAGTGAAGTTTGGACAGGAGGTGGTTTGTTGCTGCAGCAGAATCCCTGCAGAGAC